GGTGTTTGCTGCGGCGGCGGCCCAACCGGAGCTCGCGCGCTGGGCAGCCCAGAGGCGGCGGTGGCAAACACTGCCCGGCACAGCAAGCAGGGGGCCCGCAGCAGCTGCCACTGTGGCACAGTCCTGACAGGTGTGCCGGGAGCCAGCGCGGGGCCCAGGCTGACAGTGGGGGAGACTTACAAGCTGATGCTGAGAGTAGGAAAAGCAGCCCCTCGCCTGCCCCATGGCTGGCACCCCACACTGCAGCCACTCACAGCCCGCCTGGGGCTGCCTGTGGCTGCTCAGGACAGCCCTGTGCAGGCTGCGAGTGGCTGCAGCAGGGAGTGTGGGCCACCAGGCGGGGGAGGGGCCACTTTTCCCCACACTCAGGACCTGCTTGTCCCCTGCTGGGGAGCAGGGGGTCAGGGCTGCACGCTGCCCCCCGCCTGTACCACGGGGCTGGGGGGCACTGGAAGTGAGCGGGTGCACGGGACCCACATTGGTGTCCCGGGGCCAGTGCCAGTGGGGCCCAGAGTGGGGTGGCAGGAGGACAGGGTCCCAGCCGGCAGGGGCTCTATGGAGCTGGGCCAGCTCCCCGCTCTCCCTGCTGGTGCAGCCCAGCCCGGCTCTACAGCTTGCGCCCCACTCTGGGCCCCACCGATGCTGGCCCTGAGACACTGGGACATTGGTGCCAGGATGGTGACCAGTGGGCGGGGACCCTGTCAAGGGGCGGGGCTACCCATGCGGCCCTTGACAGCTTGCCAAAACTGGGTAAGTGGCCCTCTGCCTGAAATAATTGGGATACGAGATATATAAGGGATGTGCATCAGGAACTGGGAGAATGTCTGTTCACCAGGGCACCCCAAGGGAAAAGGAAGTCTAATGGTCACAAACTGCTGGAAGACCGTTTTAGGATGGACATGAGGAAAAACTTGTTTACTATCCAAGTCTCCAGAGTTTGGAATAGATTCCCTCCAGAAGTGGTGCAAGCACCTACTCTGGATACCTTTAAGGAATGCTTGGATGCTTCCAGCCTTTGAGCTCTAGGTCCCTTCCAGCCCTAATGTCTATGAAATCTATTAAATGTATTGGAGTTCTCTATGCATGTAACATCAAGCAATACCAGAAGGGGAACATTTTCCACAAAAGGTTGCAGGAAGAGTGACTGGCTCTGTCAGGGTGGGCAGCCTCCCTATTCCCAGCCTTCTTCCCCTCTCCCCTGCCCACTAGGGTGGGCAGACCATGCCACAGCATTTAGGGACTTTTTAAAGTCCACAAATCAGGTAAAAATCCCCCCACTTCGCCTCCATACTCAGAGGCATGTGTCCTCCCCTCCTCACCCTTTTCTGTCTGCCACTGCCTCCACTGTTCAGAGGGCAAGGGGAGCTCCAGAACTACTTCTGCCTAGCTCCAGCTGGACTGTGTAGAGGCCAGGCTCAGCCCAGGACAATGGTGGCAGCAGGTGTGTTTCTCCCTCCCTGTGCCTGTTCCCAGGCTGGCAGGGAACACCTGGGGGGAAGGGGAAACCCACCTGCCCCTATCCCAAGCTGAGCCCATGCCCTATACAGCCCAGCTGGAGCAGGCAGGAGTGGCTCTGGGGCCTCCCCCACCCCTAGGACAGTGGCACCAATGGAGATGAGGAAGAATAGGAAGGGAACATGCTTCTGAGCACTGGGGGAAAGAAGCAGGGAAATTCTTACTGCTGGAGGCTTGATGTGACCAGGCCACTGCTCTCTGTAATCCAGCCTTGAGGTTGCTCACCAGAGGTTGCTCACCTAAAGGTTTATGCACCCAGAATCAGAACTGACTTTAAAAAAAAAATATTCTATAATATTTGATAATGCTAGGCATAGTAATTTACATAGTGTTCCTACATTACTTCTGTGAGTCTTGTTTACAAGAAGGAAAAATGTAATGTAAGAACAAGATGCACCAAACTGCATTTTCAATGCAAATATTTGGCATGAAGAACTCCATGGTTTCTATCTATAAAACAGATTTTTATATCTGAAAGACAGAGAAATTTGACCTGTCTTTTCGAACTATATCAAACTGACCATAAGCTATTGTATTAATTAACATGACAACCATGTTGCAAATTTAGTGGATTCATCCTGAGGAACAAGACTTTTGCTGCTGAAAATTAAAAAAGAAAAACCTTGGTACTGTAAGAATTAGGTTGGTTGTACTAACTGTAGTATATATAAAATTTAATTGTTTACTTACAGCTCTATATCCCTTCTCAGGCGTGAGAGCTTCAGCAGCTAACAGATGAGCTTGTACAAGATTTTCAACATGAATCCAGTTCATCTGAGCATTGGGATTTCCAAACTTGAAGTTAAATAGCTTCCTTTCAATATTCTTCTGCAGAAACACAATAATTAAATAATTTCAGAAAGGGAAATTAATTTAGGAGTTTAGGGAAGTTAATGGCTGACTGACTCATTACATTGGTTTCTGTCAAAAAATAAAAAGTAATGCTGTAGTTGCAGTGGAAGGTGTTATGAAATTGTGTAATCTGTTGTGGCTGGAAATCTGTGTGTTGTTTCCAGAACTCTCACAGAAAAATTATGGAAAAAACACCCAAACCACAAGTGGGACAACATTTTTCCCAGAATAACCATTCCATTTATGACTTCACAATTATGGTCCTTAAGGAAAACCTATGCAATACCTTCAGAAGATGGACCTGGGAACAAAAATCGTACTTTCATTGAACTCTGAAAACTAAGGACTTAACACAGACAATGGCTTTATGGTTCATTAGAATTTTAAACAGTTTATTTTTCTCCATTGTTCTTTACTTGGTCTGTAACTACTTGTTAACTTCTTGCTCCACAGATTTACTATTTCCCTTATACGACTATGTTCATTTGTACATTTTAAACAAAAGTAATCATTAGATATGGTATTTAGCTTAGGGTATACCTGATCCATTCCCAGACCTGAGGAAGGGCATTTTATACCTGAAAGATAGCCTAGCATTTCTGTCAGCTGCATAACTGGCCCACAAAGAGATTTTGCCAAACAAATCTTCCTTCTCATAAAAATTAAAAGATTTATTTTTCCTTTATTTATTCACAAACATCCTAAATTTGGCATAAGGAAAATTTAACTAGATCTGTGTGTTACAGCTATGATCTAATTTATAATAGTAAACTAAGACAGGGCTGTCTAAATGGCTGCATATGGTCTGAGAGTGGTTAAATCATGGCCTGTGGACAAATTTCTATACTAGGAAAATTAAATAATAAAATGGAAAAAAATAGAAAAAATAAAAAGGGACTTTTTTCATATCATGGGAATTTTATTACCATGAAATTAGTAGTACTGACGTCTAGAGTATAGCTAGCTATTTCAGCTAATTATTTCCATTTCATCCACTTAATGAGGCCCATGAGAAAGATGGGAATAGAGATGTCAACCTTCCAGTGGACAAAATTTGGACAGCTTTGAACTAAGATGTCATTACAAGATTTGGCTGAAAAAAACCCTAAAATAATGTGGGATAAGCAGTTATGCAAGCTTAGCCTTTCAACCATAGCAGGTCTCACTCAAGATTTCTCTCTCACACAGAAGGGCAGATTTTTTATTTTAATTCTCACTCTCCAACTATGTTATCTGTTACTCTGTATTATGTGTTCAGTCACCAAGCCCAAGATTCACATATGGCAGTGCTGAGTATTCCTGTGCCTAAAAGTAAGGCAGTGATGTCATTATAACTATGATGCTGTAGGAAACAGGCAAAAAGTAAGAGTTGTTTGGGTAATATATTTTACTGGAGCAATTATAGATTTGGGAGAAATATTAGATCAAAGTTAGCTGATACTTAGGTATCTGGCTTTAGGAACATTATTCAAAAACTCAAGTGCCAGAGGGTATACATGCAGACTCCCTGACACTCTTGAGATCACTGCCAGAAAACCAACTTCCTTACTTCCTCAGTTTCACGTTTTGAGATTGCAGCAGGAGAGCTGATTTGTCTTTCCCAGCTCCCACACTGCACTGGAGCCTCCTGAACATATTACCTCTGTGGAGCATGTGTTAGGTAATACAATCTGGAAAAGTCCTAATGTTGCTATGTTATAATGCCAACATCTGAAAATCTCTGCAATCTCAAAATCTGAAACTGAGGCAATGAGGGTGCTTTGCAAACATGTCACTATGGATTTCTGGCATGTTTGAATGTGATGGTAGGGGATCCTTGAAGGAATTCTCACCACCTCAATTATGTGTTTGAAGCAGAGTAGGAATGGGTCTCTTTGGGTTGGGTCTTTCCCAGCCTCCGCCTACACCCTGACATATGCAACACCTCCTACTTTTCGTCGCAAACAATTTTCTCAGTGTCTACTACTTGGCCTGCCTTGGGAGATTGCTGACTGTCGTAGGGTACTAAGGGGTGCCTGCTCCTTTAAGGGCAGAAACTGCCTAGAGAGAGGGTCTTAGGAGCCAGGCAGAACCCCTATAGGTGCAGGTTGCCATGGCAGCAGGCTAATGAGGGAATTAGCCTGCACCTGCACCCGGTCGGGTGACCGGAAGAAGCCAGGGCTTTGGGCACATATAAACCCCAGGGCCATATGAGGAAAGGCTGAGGGGCCTGGGCCTCTTTAGTCTAAAGAAAAGAAGGTTGAGAGGGGATTTGATAGCGGCTTACTGCTATATCAGAGGAGTACATCAGGAGCTCAGTGAACAACTGTTCACTAGGGCACCCCTGGGGAAGACTAGGACCAATGAATACAAGCTCCTTGAAGGGCACTTCAGGCTTAATACCAGGAAAAACACCTTCACAGTCAGGGTGTCCAGACTGTAAAATAAACTCCCTCCAGAGGTGGTGCAGTCACCTACCCTGGTGGTTTTCAAGAGGAGACTGGACAGTCACCTTGCTGGAGTCGCTTGACCCCAGTTGTCCTCCTGCCTAGTGCACGGGAGCTGGACTCGATGATTTGCGAGGTCCCTTCTGGCCCCTAACAATCTATGACTCTATGAGTGTGAACCCTATGTTATTATTGTGTTGTAGCCCAGGGGCTTGTGTTTTCTCTTACTGAAACCGGTAGACTAGGCTGAGGCTATTGGGGAGGCCTCATTGGGGCACACTACAGTGTGGAGAGCCCACACCAGAGAGGGCACAGTGACAAGAGGCTGAGCTAGATGGAGGCCTCAAAAAGGGACAATGTTTAATTGCCACCTGTGAGGCATGGGGTGTGGTAAAGGGGAGGCTTTGGAGCATGCATCTAGCCCATAAGGCCTGGGAGTATCATAAGGCACCTCTTGAGTGTGGGATGCAGTAAGGGGTCCAACAACCCACAGGGCTTAGGGGAGTCTGTCAGGACTGTGACCAAGCAGCAACCCAAGGGCAGCATCTCAATTCATTATTTAAACCAGCAAAATGTGGCAGGCGAGATTAGTAGGTGACCATAGGGTGGAGCTGAAACGGTTATGGGGCCCTAGGGACATCACGGCCATCCCTGGGGAGGCTGTATCATGACACTGACGTACAGTTGAGGCTTTTTTTCCAGGCCTTTGCCCCCATTCTTGCCTGATTATCTTTAGCAATGTCTAAAGATAATCTTTAGCCTTCTGTCTCCTTATCTGGGGTTATCCCAATCTCTTTCTTTGGTGTCTACCTCTTTGAACCCCATTCCACCACTGCCCCTTGGGGCCCTCTTCACTTCCTACTGCTTTTCCCTTTCAGGACTTCCTAATCCCTATCTTGGTCCCCTGACTGCTACTGGGATGGCTTTTGTTCCTGTGTGGTACTTCGCTCTTCCTTGAGGTTGGGTTTTGTGTGTGACACTGCCTTTTCTAGGATCTCTCCAGGTGTTCGTCCCATCCTCCTCAACTCTGGTTCTCCAGCCTGTTTTCTGGCTGTGGCTTCAGCCAATACCTCTCTTCCAGAGCATGTATCTGATTTACAGCGTGCCTGGGCTTGGCAGCCCTTGGTCTCCATTCTCTTGGTTTTGGTTATTTCACCTTCTGAGTGCAGCCTCAGCATAACCAGTCACTCCTCCTGCCTCTTGTTCTGGACCGCTTGTTCTTTTGCTCAGTTATCATGTCCGCCCATTTCACTTCTACCTGCTAGATATGATCTGCCACTATCAATATTTCAGCCTCTGGCCTGCTGGCAAGTTCTTCCAGTTTCTCTCGTAGTTGGTCCACCTCCTCCATATGCTGGCTTATCAGCTAGCACCATTTCTGATCCAGGCACTCCAAGATAGCTGCCAGGGCCTCTTCCCATATGGGGATAAGCATGAATGCTGTGTGCCTCCTGAGGCTGGGGGGGGGGCATGGAGACCACCCGCAGGCGGTGGTGGCATGGTGGCGGTGAGCTTCTGCAGGTGGCTGCGGTGGTGTTGGCGAGGGGGAGCGGGGTGGCAAGCACTGATCAGCGGCCACCCGCAGGCACCACCAGCAGCTATCAGCAACCACCCACAGATGCCACCGGCAGAAGCAAGGGGGAGCGGTGGTGAGTGATGACTGTCTGCAGGTGCCACTGGCAGCAGCTGTCAATCTCAAGGGGTGCACGTACATCTGCGTGCACCCCCTGTGTTGCCAATGGATATCAAGTCCTACCCCTGAGGGTCTATCCATCACAGTATTCTTTCCCTGTCGCACTGCTCCCATCTGTATCTGGACTGTATCTTTTCCCCAAACTGGCTCTTTTCCACCTCCACCCTTTGCAACTGGGTTCACAATGTGTCACTCTCCTTGGTTTTACTTCTTGCTTCTGCCTCGAAGGATCGCATCTGGTCCTACAAACACACCTTCCATCTGTTCTCTGACTTTCTCCATTTCTCTTGACATGACCTTTCCCATCTCCTCTGACTGGATATGGCTTTGGACTAACTCTCTCCACATCTCTTGTTTTAATTGGAAGTATCACTGTTGCCCACTCTCCAGCTTGCCATGCAACTCCTCTACCTTATCCTCTTGATCCTGCAGTTGTTTCTGGATGGTCCCTATAAGGTGTTCTGATTCTTCAATCCAACGTGCAAAATCTGATTTATTTATTTATTTTCCACTGCCTGGGCTGCACCGGCTTTGGACAGGTTCAGCATCAACACCACCATCTCCTGCATCTTGTGCAACTTTTTTTCCTGTTTTCTGCTCTTCTCAGCTTCGTTCAGGATGAGTTGTTCTAGCGCTTGAGTTTTGTCAACCTGCAATCAGACGTCTGACTTCTTTGGGCCCTCCTTCCTTCTCTCAAGATTGCAAACATAGTTCTAATACAGACACTTTTGCTTTGGCCTGCTTGTTTTTGGACCTCACTATTTCTAGCTCCCGTTGTAAGTGGGCCACTCTTCCCTGCACCTCATCTGCCTGCAACTGCCAGTTAGGGTCTCTTGCTCTAAAGCTTCCATAGTCTCTATCTCTGCCATGTTGTTGTTGGTTTTTTCCTGATCCTCTCTTCCTTTTATCCCCTCTCCACTGGGAAGAGGACCACCCCTGACCTGGGCCTGAAGTCTTTTTTTTTTTTTCAGTTTCCTACAGCAGTATTTTTTTTTTTTTTTTTTACCTTCAGCTCCCTCTCCTGAGCTCTGGTACTGCTGGCTTATGATAAGACTCTCAGGGTTTCTATACTAGCCCAAGGGTTCACTCCCTTCCTCAGGGTCATGGCTTTCTTCCAATACACCCTCGGGGTCCCGAGGGTTGGCCATGAAGCCCCTGGAACTGTGCCAGCTTTGCCTCAAGGATGCCCTCTTGTCTTTCCTGCCACATCTTTATGGTAAAGTAATAAAGTGAGAGGCTGCCCACCGGCCTTCATATCGCCCCAGTATACTGAACCTCACAGGAACTTGCTGGTCATTGGGCCCTTTGCCAGACCTCACTCCAGTATTGTGCCACACGGGGCACCTCAAGCCTTATGGGCTAATCGTATGGCTCCAAACCTCTCCTTTAGCACATACCCCATAACTTGCGAATATTACATGGATGTTGTTCCCTCTGTTGGGGTCTAGGCCTACTGGACCTCATCCCCATTAATCTGGCTAGCCTAGGTCCACTGTGTTAGACCTGACTCCAAAGCACTAGCTAACTTGGTCTGTTCTGGTTATGGGGCCCCTGTCTGCTGCACCCCACTGATGCTAGGCCCCCTGGCCCCTGTGTTTGCTGTGCACCTCCTGGCACCAGGCCCTCTGGTCCCGGTCTCTGCTGCATCCCTCTGGAACTGGGCTCTCTGGCCCTTGTTCAGTTGTACTCATAGCAGTTTCACAGAAGCTAGGGTCAGGAGGGACCTGAACAGATCATCTAGCCTGACCCCCTGCCATAGGCAGGGATGAATGCTGGGGTCACAAGACCCCAGACAGGGGGTCCTCCCACCGCCCC